TTTGCATGGTCTGTGCGCGTCATAGCAGAAAAGGGTAGCGGTCGTACGCCAATTACCATGTTTCTCTTTTATTAGTGTAGATAATACTAGAAAGAATCCTGGAGTTGGAGTTGCGAATTGGGTCCAAGTCCTTGTACCTGTACTGAGTACTGTTTCATGAGCTTCATCAAGTTATGGAATGTATCTACCTGCCAGGATTTTGGGGGAGAGGAGAGCTTTGCTAGTTGTAGCTGACTGTATATAATGGTCATTTTTCTCATAGGTTTGTTTTAGCAACATCAGAGGCATTTTGCTCATAGCAATTTAAAAGAGTGCTACTAAATTATTTTAGAAGTTGGGAAAATACTAAGTCCAATTTTATTTCTCTCTGTTCCCCCCCCCCCCCCCGCCCTTTTTAAGAAGTGCACTAATTCACTGATTTCAGAGAAGTCCTTGTCCTTTTATTCCTCTCCATATTTACATGGCCTGGAATAAGCTGTTTCCTCCGAGGTAGTACTCATGCCATTTGTGTTTCTCTTCTTCATTTTAGCTAACATGCTTGAATCAAAGTCCTTTGAAGTAGAACTCAAAGATGCTGAACCTGACATTATTGAACAACTTGTGGAATTTGCTTATACTGCTAGGTAAGTTAAGGAGGACTATTTCTGTAGTGGAGGGATAAGGTTGGGATCTAACATGGCAAAGCATTGTAGCAAATCAGTGTGTTCCAGATTCTTCAGAATGAAAAACTTCAAGGATATGGCCCCAGTGGGGAGGTTGGGTGCGGGAGGGAGTTGTGTTGACAGGAGGGGGAAGTTGAATGTCCTCTGCCATACTCATTCAAGGACTGAAAGTTTAATTTTTTGCTTAATTTCAGGGGCTAGTGGGATGCATTCTACAGTAGCATTATTTAAATAAAAAATGTAGGAAATTAATATTCACTTTAACTTATTTGCAGAATTTCTGTGAATAGCAACAACGTTCAGTCTTTATTAGATGCAGCAAACCAGTACCAAATTGAACCTGTGAAGAAAATGTGTGTTGATTTTTTGAAAGAACAAGTTGATGCTTCAAACTGTCTTGGTAAGAAATCAGATTCCTATTTAAACACACACACACACCATTAATGTGTATTTTAGTAAAAAAAATAACTGTATCCCCATTTAATCTTAAAGACACTAGAAATTTTTCTAGTAATATATTTTAAGAAGAGCTTAGGGAAGTACATATTAACTTGGGCAGCAATGAGCTCATCAAATACTGTATCAGTATTTTCTAAAATATACAATAGCTTTATTAATGATTTTTTGTTTATCTAGAAAGGAGTAAGGATTGCATCTGGTGGTGGTGTGTGATATAAGATAACGTAAACATGAATGTTTACCTGTGTTGAAGCCCTTATGATTACTGTGATCTGTCACAGATAAGGAAACTAAGTGTATGTAACTTGCTGAGGTCATATAGCTGATATGTGGAGGAGCTGGGGTTGGAACTCAAGCAATCTTATCCTTCACTGCTACACGTGCTGCCTCTCCAGTCAGATCTGCTAACTGTTGTATACTAGAAGCCTTAAAAATCCTAGACTGTACAGTAAGGTACTAATTAAGGGGCTGCTGTAGCACTCCATTTTAAAGCCATTAATAAAGTAGTTTGTATTTGATACCAGGAGAAACAGAAAGTTGATCAGAGTTTTCCAGAGTGTGGTGTGGTATGCTTTCACTGTGAGATCATGCTCAGCAGCACATGAAAGAACATCCAGATCCTTGTAATTACATTTTCCTACTCTTGCTGTGATTCAGAGTAGAAGAGGATCGGGGTAGGAGTCTAAGAAAGAAAGTGAAATCAAGGACAATAGAGAGAGAGGTCTGGGAATCCAGCCAATGCTGAGATTTTTGACCCATGGGAGAAGATGAGGGGTGCTGATGACAAGAAACCAAAGGCTGGGGCAAAGGGCTCCTGGAGATTCACAAGAAGTTCGGCAAGCCTCCTCTGTTCCCCCTTTTCTAGGCTCCCTCCTCCTAGAACAGGGGTGGGCAAACTTTTTGACTCGAGGGCCACAATGGGTTCTTAAACTGGACCGGAGGGCCGGAACAAAAGCATGGATGGAGTGTTTGTGTGAACTAATATAAATTCAAAGTAAACATCATTACATAAAAGGGTACGGTCTTTTTTTTTTTTAGTTTTATTCATTTCAAACGGGCCAGATCCGGCCGCGGGCCGTAGTTTGCCCACGGCTGTCCTAGACAGTTGCATTGCTCCATCTGGCACCCCTTCCCCTCACTGTGAGTGCAGAGATAAAGATCTTAGAAGAGGAAGCGGAATAAATTTTAGGGAAGGATCAAAGCCAGGCAAAGGCAATGAGAATGAGATTGTTTCTGGTATCCAGAAAAGGAACTGAACCAAATGGGACAGGAGGGGAAATAGCTGTGCAGGTGAATATACTAATGGAATTCTTTTTTGAAGGTAGCCATTGGTTTACATAGTGAAAATATCCCTATATTAGGAATAAAAGACCAGCCTTCAACCCCAATAGAGACACTCTGGGATGAGCCCTTTTATCTCTTGGTCCATAATTTGTGGCTCCATATATCAATGAGGTTTATATTCCTGAGATTTATTTTCCCTTATGTAAATAAATTTGCTCAAAATGTATTATAAAAAAAGGATTTTAAAGAGGATTTGGAAGATGATGGCTTAAGTGTGTTTCCCTAACTCTCTAAATTTCATACTGGGGTGATTCATCTATAATATAGGGAGTGGATGTGGCAGTACAAAGCATAGTGTGGAACCTGAAGCAAGTTAGTGCTAACCACATCTTAAGCTTTGGACTTCTGAGGAGACCATTTAGGAGTTTGACCTCTGGGTGCCTTCTGTCAACGTTGATTACAAAGCTGGGAGGAAGGGCAGCCTGAAAATCTGGCTAAGCCTGAAGCAAAGACAGTGGCCCAGCCAGATGAGCCAAGTGCAGCTACTCAGTACCCCAGCGAAGTGCTTCAGCCTGTTTTCCTTTTAGCCCTGAGCATAGCTCCCCCTGAGAGCTGATTGGAGAACTCCCATCTTATTTTTCATCAGTTGTCAATTTCTGCTACCCAGAAGATCCCAACAGTCTGACTTCTATGAGTGCTAAAGGAATCCGTGACAGCTGATGGAATTAGGCAAAGGGCATATGTACAAAGTTAAAAGAAAACCAGTAGTTTGAGGGGCAGGAACTCAAGATAAACAGCCAAAATGAATGGCTGCTATAGCCATTTAACATAAGAAATGGAAGAGAACTTAAAATAGAAAGGATCCATGAAATTCCATTGAATTTAAAAAATAGAATGGAATACCTATTAAATAAATAAATAAATATCAAACAGGAAATTGCCTCATGATACAAAAGAAAAATGCAAAGAATCGGAAACAATTATTGAAAAGATAAATGACAAGAAAAGAAGATATAGGGACACTAATTTGAAGTAGGAATTTCAGAAGGAACAGGTGGAGAAAAAGCAATAAGTTAATGAGAGCCTGAGTACAGAATCCCAATGTTTTCTGGATTTTATCAGTTTTCTTGGTCATGCCTAATTTGAGCTTTTTTCAAATCTGTCTTAAACCTTAAGATTACTTTTCAGCTCTAGCTGGCTTTGCTCAGTGGATAGAGCATTGTCCTGCAGACTGAAGGGTCCCAGGTTTGATTCCAGTCAAGGGCACATGCCCTGGTTGTGGGCTCCATTCCCAGTAGGGGGCGTGCAGGAGGCAGCCAATTGATGATTCTCTCTCATTGATGTTTCTATCTCTCCCTCTCCCTTCCTCTCTGAAATCAATAAAAATATATTTAAGAAAAAAAGATTACTTTTCATAGAAACAACTACTTTTCACATTCATATTTTATTGATCTATATGGTATTTAAATAGATTGCATAATTGCAACACATTCAACTATCAAAAACTAGTCGATAAACAAATACTGGTTCTTAGTGAAAATGACATCTCCTTGATGGGAGCATAAGTGTACAGATACGTCCGGCTGCTCAACATGAAAATCTGCCATGCATGGCATCAGTCAGTACATTTATAATGTGACAGGTTTATTAGCAGGCATCAGTTATTAGAACTTTTAGGATATAAATAATAAAGCTTCAAAGCTCATTATCTGAAGACAACATGAAGTTGAAACATGGAAAATCACGATAATGAACTGAAAAAATTTATATCATGACTTTGAAGGGAGATCACATACAATAACCAATGGTTTTATTTTTATTTTTTTTTTAATATATTTTATTGATTTTTTTACAGAGAGGAAGGGAGAGAGATAGAGAGCCAGAAACATCGATGAGAGAGAAACATCGACCAGCTGCCTCCTGCACATCTCCCACTGGGGATGTGCCCGCAACCCAGGCACACGCCCCTGACCGGAATCGAACCCGGGACCCCTCAGTCCACAGACAGACGCTCTATCCACTGAGCCAAACCGGTTTTGGCACCAATGGTTTTATTTAGGAGAGAGATTGGCAAACTTTTTCTGTAAAAGTTCTCACTCCTCCTTGTCCTCCTCCTTCTCCCGCTTCCTTCCCTTCCCCTCTTTGTTCCTTCCCCTCCCCCTCCTTCTTCCTTGGGGGAGAATATATATATACACAACACTTCAAAAATATTAAAAAATATTCTTAGCTGCTGACTCTACAGTGAAATGTGACTAAATATAGCCAATCGACAGTAAGGACTTTGCAGATTCCTGATAATGTAACATCATAAATCAATTAATTCCCAAACAAAAATTAAATTGCTAGGAACAGGCTGAATGGAAAATATAGGGTTTCTATGAAGAAAATTGTATAATTACATTAATAATCAAAAATCTGAATAAATGAGATATGTCATCTTCCTAAGTGGAGCTCTTCCAGATTGCCGAGTTGTCACTGTCCCCAAAGTAACTTAAAAATTAAGTTTAATCCTAGTTAAAATCATACCAGGATTTTTAAAGTAGAATGTGATAAGCTTATTTTAAAATTAATATACAAGAGAAAATGTTTAACCTAGCCAAGAAAAGCTTGAAAAAATGTTGAAGGGGGCTTGTCCTACAAAATATCAAAATCAGCCATACATAAAATGGCATAAAAATAGACAAATCAATGGAAGAAAAAATAACCCAGGTTTATGAAATTCATGAAGGCTTCTTGGAGTCATATTTTATCTTCAGTGTAGGTTTAGGCTTTTTTAAAGGTGATTTTCTATTCATTTTATTTCTGTTTTTAGGTATAAGTGTGCTAGCAGAGTGTCTCGACTGTCCGGAATTGAAAGCAACTGCAGATGACTTTATTCATCAACATTTTACTGAAGTTTACAAAACTGATGAATTTCTACAACTTGATGTCAAGCGAGTTACACATCTCCTCAACCAGGACACTTTGACTGTGAGAGCAGAGGATCAGGTGACTAAACTGCCTTCTCACATTTTTCTTAGTAAATGTCTATATTAAATCTTATGCTTCATGTTGGGATACATGACAAGAAAAAGAATCAATTAGAAAAGAATGTGTTTTTCATATAGAGTATCCCAAAGTTTGTTTCATAGGAAAAGTTAGTCTACTTGGTAGACACAAAGCTATTGGGTACCATGGTAGGCAGAACAATGCCTCCCCCAAGAATGTCTATATCCTAATCCTTGTAATCTATGAATAGGTTACCTTACATGGTAAATGGGACTTTAGAAATGTGGTTAAGGATCTTGAGATGAGATTATCCTGATGGGCTCCATCTATAATAATACAAGTGTAATATGCAAATGGACCAAACGGCCGAACAGCGCAAGGACCGTCCAGACGACCTTCCGGACGAAGCTGGGGCTGCGAGGGCCGAGCCCCTTGCACGAATTTCGTGCTTTGGGCCTCTAGTGTAATAAGCATCCTTAAATGTAGAAAAGGAAAACAAAAGAGTCAGTGTCAGAGTGATGCAATGTGAAAAAGACTTAGCTAGCCATTGCTGACTTTGGAGATGGGAGGAAGGGGCTGCAAGCCAAGAAATGTAAGTGGTTGCTAGATGCTGGCAAAGACAGGGAAATGCTTTCTCCTGGATAAAGCATTGGATAAAAACTAAAGAAATTGTTTAAAAGTACAAAGTTTAGTTAATAATTATGTATCAATGTTGGTTCATTAGTTGTAATAAGAGTATCATACTAATGTAACATTTCAACAACTGGGTGCAGGATAATTGGGAACTCTGAACTATCTTTGTAACTTTTCTGTAATCTAAAACTACTCCAAAAGAAAAAGTTTATTTAAAAAAAATAGACCAATTCCCATAAAAAATGAACTCATAGGGAGATTAGAGCTTAGGCCTTGTTAATACCAACCCAAAATTAACTTTATCTAGCTCAATGTTTAGATGATAGATGTGTATGTATATGAAATAATGTTTGCTTTCAGTGTGTTTAAACTGTGATTTGTTAATCAAGTTATATTAATAAACTTGGATTTATTTGGTACAGTTAAATGAGCCACAGTATTGTTTTAGAAAATTATTCTTATATAAAAATCTTATTTATTTTTTAAATATAAAATTTGTATATTATAAAGTTTTTGGAAAGTAGATAAGTCTATCATTTCACAATTCAAGCATATTAGATTAAATAAAATCATAGGTGACTTTCACATCTTTTGAGGTGGAAGGCCTCTTAGGAAATTAACCTGTTTTCCTGTTACCAAATGAATATATATTGATTTTTTTCAATAGAAATATGCATCATATCTCCTTCCAAAAAGGGAATGTAATTTGTTTTGAAAACCCATAAATTCAACATTCTCCCTGTCACTACATTATGTAGTAGTAATTCTAAAAAACATGTTACCTAAAAGAATCACTAGAGCAGTGTGTAAACTGTTTTAAAATATAGGCTTTGTTTTGTTTGGGTATGAAAGCAAATATTTGAATAAAATATTGGGAATAGTGGTTATGAGATTCTTCCCCTTCGATGTGAGAGTAAATCTAGGTAACTGGAAATGTTCCTGCCATCTAAGAACTTTACTAAGCTGTTTTTCCCCCCTTAGGTTTATGATGCTGCAGTCAGGTGGTTGAAATACGATGAACCTAATCGCCAGCCATTTATGGTTGATATCCTTGCTAAAGTCAGGTTTCCTCTTATATCAAAGAATTTCTTAAGTAAAACTGTACAAGCTGAACCACTTATTCAAGACAATCCTGAATGCCTTAAGATGGTGATAAGTAAGTTGCTTTAATATCCATTTATAACCTTATCGTGTAACCAGTTTTTCATGGGCTTTAAAGACCATTTAGAATGAATCAGACTCAGTAGCCAGGGAGAAACATTCAAGACTTAGCTCTTCCAGATAATTAATCCTTTGAAGTTGCAGCTGTCTACCTGGATGGGGACTTAGCCCCACTCCTTATTTTATAGGGACTTGTGTGATAGAAGGTAAAAAATATATACACATTACTTACGCTTTGTCTCCTTTTTGTGTACGATAGTTTTCATGCACTTGGTTTCTGGTGTTTCCTTTATTTTATTTAGCCAAATAGTGATCACGTTTTCTTTCTTAAACACCTTTGTTTTGTTTGTGGGTTTTTTTTATAGCCTGGAGCTAATAATTGCAACATTTTTCCATTTACTTAGTTTTTCATGACTTGCAGGCTAAGTCCCAACCCCTCTGTAAAATGCCACTTGATGAAATTATCGGTACAATTAAACAATCTTTTGCTTTTATTTTACTTCTTGGAAATATTCTTCATGGAGCCTGCCTCTGCCTATTCCAATATGGACTGTTTACTCTCCAGGCCTAAGCCACAATTTTTGTCCTTGGGCTTCCCTTCTCAGCAATGCTGGGATGTCCTCTCACTCCTCTCCTGTGTTAGATCTGCTGTCTTCCTGGACCCTAGGTCTTCCCCGTCCTTAATTCTCTCTATTTAATCTAATGTATCCCCAGAGGTTCCTGAGAAAGAATATGCAGTCAGTAAATACTTAGAATCTTGACAAACCCCATATCTTTTTGTTTTGTGTTTGAGAATACCATTTGGTTTTTGGAGACCAAATGCTGCTGTTTTGTTAGTTCTATTTACTTATTTCTGTGGCTTAAATCCTTTTGTTTTGTATTTTTACATTATGAGTTTATATTTGATTGATCTTAATTGCCAGAAATATTGGGAGGCCAGGGTTGTATTCCTGCAGATTTTCCCTGTTCTCCTCAAGAGGAGAATAGTATTTGCTTCTGCCAAGTACCCTGGGTACAATAATCCAGGACTGTTTGGAAATTTTCTTGACTTATGGTTTCTTTGACTTACAGGTAGGTAAATTCAAACCTCGAACCTTCAGGAGAGCAGGGCTGTCATCATAAATTCTCAAAGGAGGATACCTTACCTCCACTTGGAGCTAATATTGAAACAAGCAAATGACTATTTTACCCTTCGCCCTTAGGCAGTTTTTGTTTTGTTTTGTTTTGTTGTTTTTTTTAGTCTCTCTCTTCATTAAAAGTATAACCAGACCCTCACAGGAATAACTCCCAAAGGAATAAGCCTAAGGGGAGCAAGAAGTTCCTCAGGGAAAGGGGCTAGAGTGCTTGTCCCCAGCCCTGTCCTTGGAGAGGAAAAGCCTATCAATGAAGGAGCCACAGTTCATGTTTCCTTCAGGGGTCAGCACAAACAACATTGATTAGTTGCCTCCTGTAGTGCCCCAACCAGGGATGGAACCCGAAATCTTTTTGGTGCACAGGATAGCACTCCAATTAACTGAGCCACCAGGCCAGGGCTTGTTTTTACTTATTTATTTATCTATCTATCTATCTATTTATTTATTATATTTGTAATGATTTCAGAAAGGAAGGGAGAGAGAGAGAGAGAGAGAAACATCAATGATAAGAGAGAATCATTGATTGGCTGCCTCCTACAGGCCCCCTACTGGGGATCAAGCAGCATGTGTCCTCACCCCTCAACCACTGAGCCATGCAGGCTGGGCCGGCTAGGGCTTTAATCTATATTTTAAGGGGTCAATACCAACAATGCTTGGGCTCTACCACCAGAGATTTTTATTTAATTAGTCTGTGGTATGGCCCTAGCTTGCTTTCATAGATTTCCTAGGTGGTTTCTAATGTATGTTTAAGATGGAGAACTGCTGGGTTAGGAGATCTGAATTTCAATAATTATTATTTTGGCAGCTATTGCTTGAAGAGCCAGATAATTCACTGGTATGTAATAGTGGGTGGAGCAATCAGCATAATGGTAATTGCTGAGAATAATAAATTGGTTAGGACTCAGATCCTTACACATTTCTCCTGTCTCTTCCCCCTCATAGAGGGCTGATAGAAAAACGGTTTCACAAATAAAAGCACTATTGTGTTTGGGTGGATTTTCCCCTCAAAGCATTAAAGTTCCTGAAGTTCTTAAAGAGTTGCCATGTATTTTTCTACAGGTGGAATGAGGTATCATCTCTTGTCTCCAGAGGATCGAGAAGAGCTGGTAGATGGCACAAGGCCCAGAAGAAAGAAACATGACTATCGCATAGCCCTGTTTGGAGGCTCTCAACCACAGTCTTGTAGATATTTTAACCCAAAGGTAACTAATTTTTCCTTTTCTTTCGGAAAGTTTTGAGCAAGTAGACACTCACCTACTACCAGTAGTAGTAACTCATGCCTGTAGAGATGTTACTGTTTATGGTGTTCCTTCACATACCTTATGAGAAACAGAGTTCTCATCTTCTTTTTATAAATTGGGAAACTGAGGTTTAGTCAGATTTCAAATGCTTCCATAATTGCTCTGGAATGCAGCACAGTGACCACTATCAAAGGAAATGGAGCACCAGTTCTCTTATCTTACCTCATTTTGTTAGCAACTCCTTGCTTTTGTTACAACTCCTTGTCTTCCTTATGTGCCATTTCCAATGAATATCTGCGTCTGGAGTACATGTTTTTTCTTTGTTTTTGTTCAGTAGTTATGTTTAATATAAAATAATACATAGTCATTTTAGAAAATTTGGAAAACCTAGAGAATCACAAGAGAAAAGATAAAATTACCTTTAATGCAACCATCTGGAATTGATCACCAAGTTTAATGTATTTTCCAGTACATGTTGTGCCAGTTGGGCCAGCAGAGCCTGAGTCACAGGTGTGGGGACACAATTTTAAAAAATAGATCATTAATTATAACCTTACTAGAGTCCACTCAAACATTTCTATCCCTTGTGTCTTAGATCTGGGTTTTTGGCTGTGGGGGAGATAAAACAATATTTTGCTGATACTATGATACAGTATTTGCTGGGACACAGCAAATGCCAGTCCTAAAAGATAGCACCCCATCCTTGCAAGTCTATAATTGGTATTGAGTCTAAGCACATAAGGGTCTCTTTCATCGTTTTGTAGGCCTATTTTTGGTTGATGTAGATACTTGAAGAGTCCAAAGCATCCTGTTGACATCAGGATACTTATCTGATCTTTCTCACTGAAGCGGGTGCTTGGAGGCATTGTGTGTAATACTGTAGTGGTGATGTACAAGGCATTTATCAAAACACATGGTGGCGGTGTTAAGAGTGCAAAAGACCACAAAGGCCAATCCAAATCCAGAGTAAGTATCAGTTCCAGTAAGGTCAGGGCATTGTCCCTTCAACAATAGAAAGGTCCCAGTATAGTTAGCCTGGTATTAAGTAACTAACTGGTCCCCTCAAGGTATGTTAACAAATCAAGGGCCTACTATTGGCCAATATTATTGACAAGAGTAGATCCTGACCAGTAGAGGATAGTCACATGGGGGGGGGGGGGGGGGGGTGCGGTCATTAGCTTCTGTAGCCACTGGCTGATGCAGGCCTCTATCATTGCTACTGTGGTCATTCTTAAGGCCATTGAGCAAGTATCAGATTGGGGGTGGGGGAGAGATATAGATGCAGCCCTGTCCACATGATGATTAAGAGGTTTTTGCTGCAATTGTAGGCACTCTGGATAGAATTTATATTGGACACAAATTTGTGTCCTTTCCGGACAGCCATCTGCTTTATCTTTCCTCAGTTCTCCTTGTCAGCAATCTTCCATTCTTGCTTATTCCAAATCTGTACCCATTTGGATAAATCATTCACCACTGCCTAAGAATTGATAAAAAAAAAAAAAACTGACCAAAGGCTTTCCGTCCTGAAAGGTATAATGGACAATAAAAGGAACTGCTTGAAATTTTGCCAAATCAGAATATGTTTCTTCTGTAAGGTCTCTCAGTACCTTCCCTGCAGGGACTGTAATGCTTTAGCAGTCCTCTTTTGGCTAGTACTGTCACAAATGAACTAAGCTCAGATTTCTCACATTTATCAGCTGATTTATAGGGACTGCCTCCATGAAGATATAATCCTGGTTGAGGGAAAAAGCCTAGTGGGTAAGGGTTGTAATTAGCTGTTCAGGTATTCTGTGCCTTTGGGACCTCCATAAGCCCAGTCTTATGTTTACATATCAGATTATTGGTTAAAAGCATGCTATTTATGATTTGGTAGATCAGATAAACTCCAAAAAGGATGAATGATATGGTCACCTGGATTCCCTTAGTGTTAGGCATTTGCTGTCTGTTAGAACTAGTGGCCAGCCATTAGATGTTTACTGAGAAAATGGTACCTGCTTAGCACTGCCTGGTGTGGCTCAGTTGGTTGGGCGTTGTCCCATGCACCAAGAGGTTTGATTCCTAGTCAGGTACATGCCCAGGTTGTGGGCTCGATCCCCAGCAGGAGGTAGCCCATCCATGTTCCTCTCTCCCTCTCCTTTTCTCTCTAAAATCAATAAAAACTTTTTTAAATGGTACCTGCTTAAAGTAGGTTGGCTTGCTCCAGAATCCCAGTGGCATGCTCTGTGATCAGATTGGGACATGCTTGAAGCCACATGCAGCACCCTGATGCCCCAGGATCACAGTGTAGCCAGAGCAGCTGAGCTGTACTACTATAGCCTGTCTGACTTACAGAGCATTCTCCTGCTCTGAGTTTTACTTGCAATTGGCAGCTTTTTGGTTTACCCAGTAAAAGTATAAAAGTAGGACACCCAAATACAGGATATGTGTCATCTGTAATATGTAGGAGATTCTTGGGGCAACAAACTACTCTTCATTTCCAAGGAGATCCTCAAGGTCAGACCTCCTTTCCTTGCCAGTTGAAAAGAAATTCCATCTAATGGTCTGGGTAGACAGTAACAGAAATGTTCATTAGCCAGAGTGTTAGCTATATGCCAAGTTTTAGTGGTTGTTTCAGTCTGGTCCAATAAGACCACATCTGGCCTGGCTGCAACAGAGCCACCATTCCTGGCAGTTCCTCCTCTAGTTTAGTAGAGAAGGAGACCAGCAACAGCTTCTCCTTCTTGTTATAATACTTAACATCATAATGCGTAGAGTAAATATGCTGTCCAACATCAAAAAGACCTCTTCAAGGAAGGAGGATCAGGTTAGCAATACAATCTAATAAGCACAATGTCAGTGTACTTAAAAGATTGTTACACCTGCACGTCTATTTCATATCAGCTAAGGTTAAGATTATTGACACTTCAGTGGCTATTTAATTTCAGTGTTTTTAAATTTTTTAGGGTCTTTTTGAGTCAAGAGCAGGACATTTATAAATATACTATTTTTCCAAACAAAAACTGAAATCATAGGAGTTTCGGTTGTAATTCTATAACCACAGCTTTCAGGTGTTGATAATAGTTATATACCCACCTAGTTCCCAAAGCCTAACCATAGTGTTGGATTTGATAGTTAAAAAGACTTAATCATGTTTTGGTGGGAATATTTCATCTTAACATAAAGTAGATAGTTATTTGATATGCAAAGGAACAAGGAGAATCCTGATTTCATTTAGGAGACAGTGAGCATTGTTTCTAGAATAAGGCAAATGTGGAATTACTCTTAGCACTTTGGTTTTTTTGGTCTGTAGCTCTAACACTTTCCTTGATTTTTTTATTTTTTTTTATTGAACAGTCGAAAAGAGATAAATATTCTGCACCAGCCTGGAGATGAGACTGTAATTTCAGAATTCTCACTTGATGTTTTCCTTACTCCTATATATAGCCCTTACTTACTGCTATTTTGTATATTCAACCACAAATGTTTAGACTTCTGGTGGAAAATTTCAAATAATTGAGGCAATAACTACCAATAAAAACATCCTCTTTTTATCAATTCTCTCTTATTCCCTGATGCTAACACCATTAGAATCTCATTACATTATTTATTAAATGTTTCTATTAGAAGTACCAACCCATTTCTTCTTTTTGCTATAAAACTTCATCTTGAAAAATTTGCACCATTTACCATTATTTGTATATAACTTTAATATTAGTTGATTAGTCTTTTAAAACAATTGAGGAGGCTGATTTCATTATAAATTATTATTTACCTTAAATTTCCCAAAGTGAACATAATATTTCATTATTCAAGTGGACTGCTTAATAAAATGTACTATATAGGAATTTTTTTATTTTAAAATTCTTGAACTTAATATTTTCACAAATGTTAAAATGGTTTTAACTATCATTAAAGGGAATCCATTTTTGTGTGTTCTCTACCAGCCAAAAATGATAATTTTTGATCTCCTTCAAAGGGGACAATTTAAACATTGTTACTTAAATTGGATTATCTAGAATTAAGCCAATATCTCTGTAAACTGTTATCTTTAGATATTCTTTGGATATCACTGGTGAGAGGAGGCAGATATTTGTATTAAGTGCAAATACTTACATTAATTGCTGATTGAAAATGATAAGAAAGAAAATCTTAATATTTTTTCTGAGAATTGACAGAAAGGGAAATCTTGGGTTGCTATATTGAATTGAAATGATATTGTTCTTGTTATTGTCCTTTTATAAAGCCTGCTGAGCTTTCCCTTCCCTACCTGTACCTTTTTTTAAAAAGTGTTCAAGTGCTTAGTGATTACTAAAAGAGTTATTTATCTATATACAGTGCTCTACTCTCTTAGTGTTGGTGTTCTCAAATAGTAACATGGGAATGTCTGATGATATTGATGCCTAAATAAAAGTTGATTTAATTGACCAGTTTTTATTTGGACTCTTCTTGTCAATGAAATGATGAGTTCTGAGAACTTAGAATTTTGTAAGGGTCTTGGCTCACCACTTACATATGGTAGAGAAATAGGAGAGTATGTCCTAGAGAAAAGGGGATTCTGCATATTTCCTGTCAAAAACAAAGAAGGAGTAAGTCCACAGGGTGAGGGCCAGGGCCTGTAAAGGATAAAGACAAAAAACCAGAGGAAGCCATGTTACATGGAGTCATTAGGTCCAGGGGGTTTACCCTGAGTACATTTTGTTTTACTTTAAAAAAAAAAAAGTACCATTGTTGTTTTTTTGTTTGTGGGGTTGTTTTTTTTTAATTGATTTTAGAGAGAGAGGACGGGAGAGGAATAGAGAGATAGAAACATTGACGCTCAACCACAGAGCCACACAGAGTACATTTTCTTACTCAGAACTCTGAAATAGATTCATCACTGAGTCAGTGTCTGGCCCAATGTGGGAGTCGGCACACCTGGGTTTATTGTGCTTTGCTTCATTGTGCTTCACAGATGTTGCATTTTTTTTTACAAATTGTCAACT